GAGGAGCCAGATATGAGCGACCAGCTCCACCCGACTTTTCAAAGCTACTATGTCCTCGGGCTCGTCCTCGGCAGGTTGTAGGACAACATTCATTTCCTCGACCTGTTTGGCCAAGCGTTCGACTTCGGCCACCAGGCGATCCCTGTCTGCCCGAAGAAGCTCCCCTTCCTCGGTCAACTTCCCCGACCTCTCCTTCTCCAGGGTCAACATCTCCCTCTCAGCATCGAGCATCGCAGTCTGCTCTCGGAACATCCCCTCGGAGCGTTCCAGAGCGACCTTCAACTTCCGCGAGCTCGCGGTCAGGGCCGCCTTCTCCTGCTCGAGCTCTTCAACACGGGCAGAATCCCCTCCATCCTCGGATAGCACCAAAGCCATCTCGGCCATTTTACCAGCCCATCCATGCTGGCAGCCAGATACGCCTTCCGTTCCTCTTTACTCATCTTTTTTATGACCGCAGCTTCATGGGCAACCACTGTCGGAGGGAATCGCTCGAAAAAGCCCGCCTCTTCGAAGCAAGGGGGGAAGGCGAAAGATTTAACAGCACCGGCATCCACGCCGACAGTCGGACCACCTTCCACACGGGTCCTCTTCCTCTGCATCAAAACGGCACTGGGGTCGATCTCCTCGACTTCTGGATCCGACGTGGGCCCCGAGCTCGACGGCGAGTCCACCCTCACCTGCTGAGGAGCATTTGGACTGTGTGGGGGGCCCATCCTCGTCGCCTGTGGGGCCTTCACGACCCTCCTGCCTTGCCTCTGGTCGCAGGATAATTTCAAGAGCCTTTCATGTCGACTAGCCATCGTACCTGCACAAAATAAAGGTTAGGTCAGTATCGAGCAAACTTCATAAATAAATGACGAATAAAGAATTTCAAGCAACAAACAACTTAACAGGCGGGCAGCCTGCCTGTACGTCGGGCACTCCACCAGCGCCTTGGTGTCAATCGGACGGGACTCGAACGTTGGGTAACCATCTTTGTCCAGGATATCGTCCCCTTCCCGCGTAACCCACCGGGCGGGATGGAAACTATCGACAAACCGGCAAAGAGCGTCGTACGCCTGCTCGTCTTCCGAGCACATGTCCCCGGCGGCGGTATGGTAATAACCCGTCCCATGCTCGTAATGTCGGGACATCCAGTGCACGGGGACTTTCGCCTTACGACCCAACACAGGGTTCCCATCGTCGCCCAACATCGCCTCCCCATCCTCGTCGCTCACCGGCTCCTCCTTCTCGAAAAGGGAATTTAAAGCAGCGTCGGTAACTGGCCGTACCACGTACCACTTGTCTTTAAACCCCCTCACGGAGTCCATATACATCTTAAAGAGTCTCCTCGACTGCTTCAGGGAGACCCAGCTATGTTTCCCTCCTCGGGACTGACGCTGCAGGTGAAATATCCGGAAGAAAAGCGGGATGGTCGCCCCGATCCTCAGGTAGCGACACGTCAACTCAAACGCCCGGATGAAGGCGAGAGAGTTTGGGTGTAGCTGGGACGGGGCCAGCTCCAAGTGCGTAAAGACCCCAGCCTGGAAATCAGTGAAGGGCAGCCGCAGCCCTAGGTCTTTGAACGCGATCTCATACATCGCGAAGCTGTAGTTCGGATAAACCGAGCAAATCCTTGCACGGGATGACGGGACCATGACTACGAAGTTCTTCTGGAAGCCGGGCTGGTCTTGACCCTCTTCAATGACAGCGTATGGATGTCGGTCGTCCCGGCTGTAGACCGACGCTATCCCCCGTGGCTCGACGCCCACCCATTCCAGCAAAGGGTCGGTCACGGTATCAATCAGGGTGACCGACTCGTCGGCACTCTGTTCTTCACGGTCACGGCGTCCGGAGGAGCTCGGCTCGTCCGCCATGGTTACCTGCAGAGCACGGGAAACCAGTCAGTTGAGCACGAAGCCCTATGCTCGACAAAATCACGTCGTCCCATGCACGACTACATAAGTCCGTTTCCACGAATGGTTGCCTCCCCGACATCCTGAACCCGGTGTTCTTCCTCAAACCAACTGCGCGGCCACTCTCCAAGCATGTCGACCCGAGGTATGAACATGGCGAGCCGCACCATGAAGCCCACGGCCGAGACCTTGAACATACCGGGCGCGATCATGAATCAGGCGCCCTGGATCATGAAGACCCCGGGCAGCTCTGAAGTTTATCACCTAAAACTATGAATGCGCCGGCCACAAACATGCGTTTGTCGGTCCTAGACATGAATGTGTCGGGCTAAGCATGAGTTTACCGGGCTAATCCCACGCGCACGGTCCTAAAACATCTACAAACGCCAGAAATCATGCATTCTAAACAGAAAAATGAAGAAGATAGATCACTTACTTGGATCAAAGAGTGGGATTTGGCTACGAAATGGAAGAATCTGTGACGGAAAGTCGCAACTGGAGAAAATCTGGAAGAGCAGCAACAGAGAGAGCACAGAGAGTAGAAACGTATTATGGGGCCCAAGGTTCCTATTTATAGTGATGACGTGGAATACCAAACGTCACCTCGGGCAACCACAGACTCCATCTCCTCGACGCACTGCTCCCAACGCAATGATGACCCTACCCCCATAGGGTGGCGGCACAGTTCCCGAAAGATACCTCGTGTGCTCGACCGACGCGCCCGGTAAGGATCCTCCGCGCATCCACCGCCGAGGACGTCTCCGAGCACGACATGAGGAGGCCCCTCGAGGGCCCACACCTCTATCCCGGGCACGAGACCTCAACGAGGGAATAACGGATTCAAGTCATGGCTCCTCGCAAAGGAACCACGACTTGGGGGGCTCCTGTTCTGGACTGGGCCCGACAGGCCCAAAAGCATTGCTAAGGCCCAGTCTAAAGGGACTTACTGAGGACCACGCCGAGCAAAGGGGTCACATCCGTGCCCGACTTCCTGATGTCCAGCTCGACATCCCGTTGTCCCGCTCCACGTGGTGATGTCCAGCTCCACCTCCGGACGTCCAGCTCGACACCCAGCCGTCCAGCTCCACCTCCGGACGTCCAGCTCGACACCCTGCCATTCAGCTCCACGTCCGGACGTCCAGCTCGACACCCTGCTGTCCAGCTCGACGTTGCCTCGAGCATCCCAACTAGGGCAGACTCAGTCCACCGTTCCCCCAACGATACTCCGGAAAGACCGCGTCTTCGTTCGCCCGCACTTCACGCAGAACATCCAGGAAGGGGACCACGTGCGGGTCCCCACTACCCACGTAGAACCTGGAAGTTCCTCCATTGGGCCAAATCCGCCCGGCCCAATGAAGGAACCTTGGCCCAGCGCTGGGGGCTATAAATACCCTCTGCTTCCAGAGGGTCAGGTATTCATCATTCTAACCTCAACTTGCTATTATCTGCTCGTACTCCTACTTACTTCAGCATCGGAGTGTCTTGCAGGTACCCCCCCACCTCGTTCAAAAAAACTTTCTGCTCGGAGCCAGCCGTGACGGTCCATTTCTGATCAGGTCAGATCAGGTAGGTATTGGTATTTTTTTACTATTCTCTTTTATTTATTTTGGAGTGTGTATTGTGTCAAAAAATCTCATTAAAAGTCAAATTTTAATACATTATTAGGATTTGTCTTTTTCGTTTAATACCTTAAATAACCTTTTCATTTATCAATGTATTCACGTAAACTGCATAACTATATCATGGTTTAGAGTTTAAATTTTAAAACTTAACTGTATTTATATTAATTTTGTATTAGATGATAAAATCATATAATATCAATAGCATCCATAAATTTATAATATAGAAGAATTTAAAAATTTCAGGCATGCTCGACGGATCGAATCTATTTGTTCGGATCACAAAATATTTACTTCTAAATTACTATAATATATAACTTCTAAATTATTACACAAATTTAACAAACATAATATTAAATTCACTAAATTTAATCAAATTATTATCAATTTTAATTTATTATTAAACTAATATATAATTTTTTGGTGCTGTTTTATATTATAGTATTTATTAACAAAAATTGTAAAATTAAAATTGTAGGCATACGAGGCGGATCAAACCTGTTTTTTTAATATATATTTAATTTAATAATAATTATCAAATTTATGTATAATCTAATTATTACTACAATTTAATAAATTAAATTAATATTTATATAATAATTATTAATAAAATTTATTTTTTATTATTTTATATATATTTTTATATAAATTTCTTAACTATAACTATATAATATTTATTAAATATTTATATCAATATTTCGCGATGGTGTGCACGGATCTTTATAATTAATTTATAAATAAAAAACTTGTAGAAAGGGGAAAACCCAATCAAAGAAAATCTAGAGTGTTACACACATTCTCAAGTCGCCAAAATCAGCAGCACCGCTTCATCTTTCTCGATATCTCTCCCTCTTCCTTTAGCTTCCAGGTAAACCACATACACTCTCTTTCATTGTTTAATTCCTATTCATTGCTGAATTCATGTTATCGTGACTATTTTTATTTTTTATGGATTCATTATTGTTTGTGTTTTGTTAATTTTGTTGGTAAAAATTTCATTTTTAGGGTTTTGGTGAAATCCAAAATTGGGGTATTGCATGGGGAGTACATATTTTTCACGTGCAACTGATTGTTCTGCTTGACTTCTTTCTTTTGGTATATTTTTTTTGATTTTGCAAACAAGGTGTTTGTTGAAATGTCACTGAGTTTTGTTGTATTGGTTTTGAGCTGAACATGCTTCTAATGATTTTAACATACTTGCAATATATATATTATTTGTTGAGTATTCATGAATTTTTGTTATATTGAATAAAAATTCCTGAGTAGTTTCAAGGATTGGTTTAGTACACACTTAGATGTGTATGTAACATGTCCTTAATTTTAGTTTGTAGAAGTTTATGCTTTTTCAAAAGTGATTTTAAAAATTGAGAGGTTAGTAACTGTGATACCAAATTATGGAGAATCAGAGATTGATGCTATAAAAAATAGTAAATAACTCTCACTCCTTGACCCAGAGTCTTAGAGACGAGGAAGGGAAGCAGCTAAGATGAGCACCGGCAAGAAAACTGGTCCTCCCAAACATCAGAACAAGATTGCTTGGAAACCTAATGCTGGTGTCAAGATCAATGAAACTGTATCTAACTCTATTTTTCTTCTTCCAAAGTCACTCTTTTTTTTCTAATGTAAAGTTTTAAATATATACATGCATATTTATATATAATCACTCACCTACAATACAGGAAGTTGGAGGACGATTTAGACCTTTATCTGAGATAACTGGAGTGTGCCCTCGCTGTAAGGAACAAATTGATTGGAAACGGCGTTATGGAAAATACAAGCCTCTTCATGAACCTGCTAAATGGTACTATATCATTTTTTCCCCTTCTTTTTGTTATATTTACATTAATAAACTTGAGTTTTTTTTGTTCATATTTTTTGGCATTTTGTTGATTGATTGATTAGCTAATTAGGTTGTCTTTTTTGTTGTTTGGTTTCTTGCAGTCAAAGATGTTCAAAGCGCGCTGTTCGTCAAGCTTACCATAATTTATGTTTTGGTTAGTGGTATTATTTGTTTACACTTAATTTGTTTGATTTTTCTTATTAGTTTGGGGCTTTATTAATTGTTATTTGCTAAATTTTTAGTTGAGTATGGAAAATAAATTTTGGGGCTTTATTAATTGTTATTTGCTAAATTTTTAGTTGAGTATGGAAAATAAATTGAATCTTTGGGAGCATGGAGTTGGAAAGAAAAAAGGGCACGAGTTCAATTAGTTGGAGTTTGTGAATTTTGTAACAGAACATTTGTTTGTGAAAAGTGCTTTTGGGAAATATCAGTAGAATTAGTTTGCGTTTGGTTTAGCTTTTGCACAACACAAATCACTTCCCAATGCAACTTTGACCATGATTTACTGAAGCTACAAACTGCTGCTTCCACTTAGGCATGAGTTTGACCTTCAAACCACTGCGAAGAGAAACACGCTATTAGTATTAGTGTAATATAGAAGAAAATAATTGCGTTTTGGGAGTGTGGAGGTGGAAAGAGAAATAGGGCGTGAGTTCAATTAGTTGGAGCTTGTGAGTCTGAAAAGTGATTGAAGGAGATACATAAAAAACAAAAGAGTCTAATCCGAAAGATTTGAACAATTAAACTCAATGGTGTTGTAAGATGGTGAAATATGATTGGACCTCTTGACAAATCTCTTTTAGGGTTGAAGGTGTATGAGTGAGTAGTTATTAAACTCAACGTGTATTTTACTGATTGACTTTTTTATTTTAATGTAGCTTGTGCTAAGGAGCATCGTGTTTGCGCAAAGTGTTGTTGCCGTGTGGAGCGTATAGTTGGAAGGTTGTCTTTCACATTTTATTTTTGATAATCGATGTCTTTCACATTTTATTTTTGATAATCGCTGTCTTTCACATTTGATGAAAGATTTACCAATTCGGTTTGTTGTAAGATTAAGTTTTATGCAAAATAATGAACAAGAGTTAGCATTTCCTGACCCAATCACTCAACAAATGAAAAGATTAATCATTATTGATATGGTATGAAACTTGTGAAAAGATGAATCTCGGTTGATATGAATTTTTGTCTTGTAGGGATTCTTCAGAAGTTGAGGCTGAGCAAAAGATGCTTGAGGAGGTTTCTTTTTGTTTCCCACTTACTTTTTCCATGTCTTTTCGTTGCCTTTGTTTTGAATGTTAGACATGTTCATCTCTGCATAGTAGAAACTTGAAATAATACTGGTATTTTTGTTGCAGGCTATTAAGAACGCTAGCGAGAGAGAAAGGAGATCCCTATTGCGTGCTGTAAGATACTGAAATCAGTGCTATTTGTTTTTTACAGCATATCCAGTCTCTCTTCTCTCCTAACTTTTTCAATCTAATCATGACAAATCTTAAAATAAAACACGACTATTGATTTCTTACTTGAAAATAATTTCACCCAACTTGATACGAGTACTTGTAGTCGTGTAGTACCCTTTCAACTGTTGTTGATGCCTACCCATGTCATTGCATTATTTACTTGAGTTTATATTGATACTCTAAGGGTAAAGCTAAAGTCTATATGTTGTTAGGCATGATTCATTTTCTCTCGTGGCATAATGTCCTGTTCGGTAAACATGCGTGTTTCTGATCATTCTTCTACTTTTATTATCAGATGAACAACAAAGGCAAATCCAAGAGTTCAAAAGAAACTCTGGCAGATACAAATGATAACAAAGTAGGACAATTATTTCCAAATTCATCCTTGGAAGATTATGCCAAAAAGAATGGAGTTGTCGGGAAACATGATGATGGTAAAATTTGTGATAGCAAACCTGATAATAATGATGAAAGTGAGGAGGAAGTTAATGATGATGAAGATGATAATGATAGTGCGAATGAAGATGGTGATGAGGATGACAGTGACAAAGATGAGAACGTTCATGATCAAATGAATGCCAAGAAGTAATGATTAAGGATATTTGAGTATGTCATTTTTGACAGTGACAAAGATGAAAACGTTGCCAGGGAATGATTAAGGATATTTGAGTATGTCAGTTTTGCAGAAATTACGTTGTAGGAATACCAACTTCTTTGTAGTATGTATTTCCCATATTTTTTACTAGATTTTGGGTGAATTTTGTTTGCGTGGAATACAAATTTTGAATTTTATCACTGTTGTGTCAATAAAAAAGTAACAAAAATAGATATTGAGCATCTTCTGTGAGTTACAATGAGAAGATTTGTATGAAAATATGCCATCAGTCTTGAGCGTTTTTAACTTTTGAAGTCTCATGATAGATTAATATTGTATTATTGTTGTTTTTCAACTCAATCAAACACTAATTGATTCCTGATCTTTTCTTCTGAGCATGACTATGGTTTTTTTCAAAGTGTGAAATCCACATTGCCTTTCATTTCAGGCTTAATCAAGTCAAATTATACTATATAAATTTCTTTACTATTATTTTATAATTTAAGAAATCAACTCCATATTTTGGCATTCTTTACACATCCTACTTAGCAAAATTATGTTTCCAATAAAAACACTCACATTCGTCTATTTAGGTACACATAAGAAATTAGAGGGAAAGTAAAACCAAAAACAAACATGTGTAACTTTTTTTTTATATGCGTGTATGTATAGTCTCATTACTCCCACTGTACATAATCCATATCAATGTTAGAAAAGAATACACCTAATCCAATGTGATTATCTAAAAAAAATGAAAATGATATTTTTCTATAGTAGTAAAAAATTCCTTAACTATCCATCCAATTAGTATTTCCTGAAAATTCAATTAGAATGGCGGCCTGCTTAACTTTCAGCAGAAGATTCTATAAGCTAATCCATATCTACTATCCCACCAAAAGGAACTCAATTAATCACTTTTTGGGACCAGCTGCTTCTTTATCTTTTACGCATAGGCGCTCTGAGTAAATGACAATGAAATACTGTTAAAAATGAGCTACAAATATTCACAGATAAAATCATAATAAGCCAACAAGATTATGAACACAGACAGTATCTAATCAGAGAACAAGAGTTCTTACTCAGATATTCGTAAGCCAATACCATTGAAGTTCCCCATGCTGATGTGCTGACCAATCTTGGACAAAATCCTCTATATACACCTTTCCAACCATCCTCACTGATCAATTCCTTAACAACTTGTTTAATAGAGATTTTCTTTCCATGTCCCACCACCTGTGGTGCAAGCCATTAAGTCAGAAAAAAATTAGGAGTCGGCTGATAAGCTAAAATGAGTATACCTAAGGCAATACATGTTTTACTGTCGTTGCATTCATCATATCTAAGGCTACAAAGAAGTTAGGTATCAAATAAATCATTTTTCAGAATGAAGAAAAAGGCGCAAAACAGATAACACGACACTTGGATTCAATGATTACATTACATTGTCATCACAAAAGCAAGAGAAATAAACATTGTCAACAAGGCTATGAATACCTGTAACCGTGTCTTGATTGTATCCAGTGGAGTTGTAATGCACGATGCAGTAGCACCAGCAATGAGACCCCCTCCTGCCTGAACTAAAACAATCTTTGGTAGGCTAGGAGTAGCTTCCTCAGATTTGACATCATCTTCCAAGAATCTGCCAAAGCAACCAACAAATATGATGCTCGGTTAATGATAAAATCAACCATTTTAAAAAACTCATATCGGGCAAAACTGATTCAAGCTCTTGATACGTTTTCTCTATTTTTTCCAACTTTCCTCAATTCAACACAGATAAAAGGTCATGATTTCAAACACTGTAAATTATATCCTTTGAGGATGAATAATCCATTACATGATCTGGCAAGGCTAATCTTCAAAATCTGTATCAGATTTTTGGTAGTTTTGGAACTATGCTATAATAAGACTTACATGTATCATGCATAATACAATTTTACATATATCCTGAATATCATTATCATGGAGTACAAAGTTATACATGCTCTGTCAACACACAAATGCCACTAATGGCATAATAACCTAAGTGTCTAAATTTAGATATCAGTAAAAGAAAATTATGCCAGGTTACAGATATTGATTTTCTAATCATTTGATAGTTGATAAAATACATAAACTAAAGAAAAAGGTAAATACAAAAGTTTCATAATTATCATGTCTCACCTCCATAAGAAGCGTTGACTTGAGCCGTAAGTCGCCCACCATACAGCGCTAGATGGTGAATAAGTCATAACAGATAGAGTAAACCCTCTGTATAGTCCCCTGAAGCCCTCGGATTTTATCAACTTCCGAGCAACATCCAAACCACCACTATACTGGGCATGGCCAGAGTATCCTTGCACCATCAACTTTTGGCTAATCTGAAGGTAATAAGCAATTAAGAATCGGTGAATGCCATAACATTTTGATAACGAAGAACATGAGAGAAGAGAATACGAAAATATTATATAGTATTAGTACCACATCGATTGGAGTATACACAGCTTGTGACACAATCGACGACGCCATGCCTGCAATGCCATTCGCTATAGCAGCCTGACTAGTTTCAGATAGTACAAACGGTTTAACTATCTTGAAGGAAGCTTCCTTCGTGGTCTCTAAGAAAGTGAGAAACACGATTCTGGCAGGTATTGTTCCAGTGAGAACCGTTGCAAACCCTTTATACAAACCACGGATGCCGTCTTTCTTAAGCAATCCTTTCACAACAGAAGATGCAGTTCTCTCTGCAGTCTCCTTCGAAGCAACCTGCATCCTAGTCTTCACAACCGAGATGGGGTAGAGTAACACAGTAATGCCAGAAAATAGTCCAACTCCCCCTACATAGAATTTCATTACATCTAACCTACAGAAACAAACAGATAAACTCCATAAGGATAAGGAGCTTCATAATTCTATAAAAAAAGGCCGAATCAAACGCCAAACCATAAAGACATTCGAGGCATCGAAAAAGTGATTATTACAAAAGTGATTATTTATTCTTAGGGTTCAATCTCAAATTTCAATACTTATTTATTACTAACTACATTTTCAGGTCATAAGCACTACGAAAAAGTGATTATTACAACTTATTACTACTGTTTTTGCAATTTTATTTGGTTTCTTTGATACATTTAGAAAATCTTGAATCATGTAACAGTTGATGAAACAGATATAGCAGAAAAGAAAATTGAATTAAGAAAAGTGAAAGAAAGAAAAGAAAAATTGGAAATGAAGAAAGGAAGTAGGATAATAATACCTATTCCAGTTAACCTCAGGATCAGCCATTGGAGAAGAGAGAGCTGAGATTTTTAGCAGAAAACGGTTTGAAAAGTTTCTTGTTACACTGAGAAGAGTGAAAGAGAAAAATTTGAAGAATAAGAAGAAATGAGAAAAAAACACTTATTTATATGGAAGAAGAAGTGATTAGTGATTGCTCTTGCTATTTACTCTTTGGAGCCAAAACAAGCTTTTATAGGATCTAAAAAAAATACTTTATTTTACATTTTTATATAATATTTTTTTTTTTGAAAAAACGAATTTACTAGGTAACTATTAGATAGAATGTTTCCACAATATTTGCTTTGATATAGTAAATTCCTATATATGATCTTGCTACCCCTAAGCCTATTAAATATTTTAATGATCCTAGATCCTTTATTTTGAAAGGCTAATTTATAATGGTTTTTATTCCTAGGAACTCCTTTAAATATTAATGACATTCAAAGTAAATTTCATATTATACTTTTTTTCTACTAATATTTGTTTTTGGAGCGTTTTATTTAGAACTTAAAAGCACTATTGAAAAAGCTCAATTTGATTTAAAATAACCTTAGCTTGACAAATTCTATGGTGATTTCATGGCGAAAACTATATGTGAAAACAAGTCTCTTTGATGAAGATATATATATGGAAGAAGGAAAAGATTTAACAAGGAATGAGGTTTCAAGACAAGTTTAAAGGTTCTTTGGCAAAACTGATTCAAGATTATGATTCAAGGATTCAAAATTATCAAGGTATGGAAATTGAAGATAAATTAAGGTACAATATATTTTTCATATGATATAGACCTTAGATGCTAAAAAAAAATTTTAATTCATTTTATGCATTATTTTATAAATGGCAAAAATTGACATTTTTAATTTAGAAAATTTTCTAAGTATACAACAGGTTAATGGATTAACCTCCTTTGTTTCATTGATTAACCATGTCTCTGTTTGAAGTAAAATAAATTGGATTTTTCACTTAGGATAATCAATTTGCATTCTAGGTTAATTGATTAACTGTTGGGTGTATGATTATGCACCTTTGAGAGAGACACGTCACTTGTCCATCTAAAACTTTAAGATGATAGGTGAGTGAGTTCTCTCACTTATAAATGTTTAAGTCACCACATTCATATTCAATGTGAGACTATTTCTTCACTTACTCACACTTGCATTATTATTCTAACACTCCCATTCAAGTGTGAGTCCACAATGCTCCCCCACATACACTTGTACCGCCCAAAATATTCCTCCACATACACTTGTACTGCATATTGATCTCGCACATACATTTGTACTGTCGTTGACACGTTACAACAAGACACCTCTTCTTGGGCATTTCGATACAAAGTCTCCCTTTCACGAACCAAAGACTCTGATACCACTGTTGGGGAGTCCGAGAGTGTAACACCCCAATTCTATCCGACGAATTATGAACGAAAATCAGAATTTTAAAATTCATACAACTGAATCAGGATGCCACAAATTTAACTTAAAAACACATTGCATTCAACGTGGATACATAACACTTTAAAACTTCGGATGAACCATCAGCATAATAATTTAATCTCTTAATTCAACAACTTGAACATCTACGCAGCGAAATCATAATAACATCTTTGTCTAACAGTTACAACCACTTCAAAATAACACATACTTAGCAACAATCAAATTAAAGTTCAACAATTGAAATAATCAATAATTAAAAGCAACAATCGTTCATCCCCCCGAGTGTTACGTATCAGAGCAATG